AGGGTTTAGGGTTTAGGGTTTAGGTACGGCCCCCATACAGTAAGAGTCTATAATAGGGCTACGATTAAGGTCCTACTATATATCTATATTATGAATATTATTCAACCATTACTGCGTGGGGGCCGTACCTAAGCCACTACAGTATTGTCTAGGGGGGTTACTGATATTACAACTGATGACTACTACTAGGGCACTACAGTATTGTTTAGGGGGTTTACTGATATTGCAACAATAGCTGCTCTTACCACTACTACTACTACTACTACTACTACTACTACTACTACTACTACTACTACTACTACTACTACTACTACTACTACTACTACTACTACTACTACTACTACTACTACTACTACTACTACTACTACTACTACTACTACTACTACTACTACTACTACTACTACTACTACTACTACTACTACTACTACTACTACTACTACTACTACTACTACTACTACTACTACTACTACTACTTCTTGCGGAGACGAATACCGAATGCACGACGCAACCCCCCCCCCCCCCCCAAACCGCCCACCCATGAATTTCCCAGCACCATCACCAGTGGCACCACCAGCACCAATACCGGCGCGACCACCACTACTGGTACGATGACAGCTCTCGTTTTTCACTACCTCTACGAATTATTCCTTCACGGCCTGTGTTGTGTGTATTTCCAGTCTGTCTCTGGTGGCCCTGGGGGCTGCACCGTCGCTCGGAGAAATCGAAGCTCCTTGGCACGAGGGGTTTGGGTGCAAGGCTTTAGCCTTTGGGGCTGATGATTTAGGCTTTAGGCATACAGAGTGGGGGTAAGGATATCAGGTTCACGGCATATAGGGTTCTAGGGCTTCGCGGGCTTCAGAGCTTACCGCTCGGATTGGCAAGGCAATTAAGGGCGGTTGAGGGTTCAGCAGCTTAGGTTTGAGGACTTCGGCAGTTGCAGCGAACAGAAACAGTGTCAAAAGCTGTCACAGCCTCAGTGCTTAGGGTTTGGGCTTAGGGCTGCTAGGTATGGACACATCTAACCTGCGTCAAAAGCCCCATCCCAAAGGAAAAACAACAACAGTACCCGACAACACCGTTACATCCAAATTCGGCCACGATGCTGATTCAGGATCGAAAGCCTCCCATCCTGAACGAGGGAAGCATGGAGGGGAAGCAGTTTGGGCTTTAGGCTTCCGGGGTTTAGGATTTGGTCCTATAGTCTTGTGAACAGGAGCGTTGAACCCTGCAATAGCCCTCAGCTGCTTTCGAGGTGTTGTGTTGTGGTTGGGTCCGGTTTATGGCTGAGTAGTATGCCTTGTTCTCAGGATTGAACAGGCTGCTGGTAACTAACCAACCAACTCCGTTCCAGCGCCGACAGCCCTCAAATGGACAGGGGGTAGCCCATGAACCCTTGCATCGGAGCACTGACGCCAAGCCACTGAACCTGAACACGCACCCTGAGCTCCCGAACGTAGGGGGCTGAATAACCACTAGCAGCGCCTTCAAAAAGAGCAGTAGACTGAACTATGCCCCAAAACACAGTCGAACCACTTAGGCCCCTATCCTTACCAAGGTCCGAAATTCAAGACTCCCAAACCCTGAACCCTCCCAAACCACGACCCTGTGAGCTCTTTTTGGCGCCGATGCCGTGGGAAGTCTTTTCTGGCCGAAGGGCGGTTACGACGGACAAGTCATCCCACAAAGGACACCATGAAGATAAGGGTTTAGGGGTGTAGGGGTTTAGGGTTTAGGGTTTAAGGGTTTAGGGTTTAGGGTTTAGGGTTTAGGGTTTAGGGTTTAGGATGAAGAACACTGCTCCGTGAAGCCCATGATCTTAATTCTTAATCCCTACCTTGTCCTACATAGCTTCCCGTGTAAGAGCCCAATAGATTCTTCATTAGAGCATATTATATTAAAAGAACCTACAGAGACTAAACGAGTAGGTTATCATGCACCACAACTGTTAGTGCACATTGGAGGGCTCCGACACCCAAGCTTGCAAAACCCAGGCACCATAAGCCCAACTCAAGACGGCGGGAGTATCAACGCCAGTCATGGTGATTGCAGCTCTCACAGCCATTTTCGAGTCAATACTCGCAAGAACGGTACGTGCAGTAGCGCTACAAAGATGTACCATGGCATCAGAAGTTTACCTCAGCGCCTTACACAGGATGTGCAAAATATGGGCCAACAGAAACACGCCATTACTAATACTCTAAAGTCTAAACTCTAAGACGTAATTCGTGTTCAGACCCCGTAGGTAACCGTCGATCGTAAGATGCTCTCGCGACAGGCTCGGCCTGTTCGATTTCGGTTGAACCCCGAAAGACACTGCCGACTGAGCTGCTGCTTGACACAGGAAAGTTCCAGAAAATCAGAGAACCCAATCTGGGGGTTTAGGGCTCAGGCGCTCGGGATAGCAGGAGCTGCTAGCTGCTAAACCCTAAACCGTCGGAACCCAGCTATCAGAACCTCCCATACGTGATCTCAAGACATCCCCGTCGGTGTGTAATTGCTCCTACAGCTCCGGGATCTACAAGAGTGCTGGCGTAAACCCCCAAAAGCAGGTTAAATAATGGCCCAAAGCCCTCTATGGGCTATTTTTCTACATACGTTTGGGGTCCAGGTAGACGCCCAAATCCTACAGCTGAGCCCTGAAGTAGTTTTGGGGCTTTCGGGAACTGCCTTGGATCAGGGCTTCAGTATTTTCTAGAATCTTTTACAGTAAACCCCAAAAAGTTGGAAACCGGATTAAGGACAAATAGTGCTGGTATTCCCTATACATTACTCTTAAGGATTCAGGCTATGGGGTTTCCAACTTTTGGGCTTCTACTATACAGCTTCCTAGCATTTCAAGGATTGCTCAGGACATCTGGGATTCGCGCATCTCAGGTTGGAACTGACTTTCTAACTTTGGAACCAGATTCGAGTTCAGCAATGCACCCACCTACACTAGGAGCTTGAGCATGTTTGCTGCAAGCTGCAAAATGCATTTCAGTGCCTGCTGGGCATTCATAGGTTTCACGATCCTATAAGCCTTTCGTGAGAACCAACGGGCGGTGCACACCCTGCAATATAAGTGTAGGGACCTTAATAATTAGGACAGCGTTTTCATAATAAGGAACCCCGAGGAATAGTAGGAATTGAAGACAGCTTCCGGAGTTCAATCTTTATGCTTTTTGAAGTTCTAGCGCTTGGGATTTAGTTTCTGCTAGGATCATGGTCTGGACATTCAAATTTCTTTTTGTTGAGGGCCCTTTTCCTCCTTGCTACAGTAGGAATACCTAGTAGGTAGAGCCTGGTATGAGGACCCACGGACTGCGAGATAAGCCTAAAGTGCAACCCTAAACCCTAAACCCTAAACCCTAAACCCTAAACCCTAAACCCTATTCAAGTTTACGTTTCAGGGATCGACGCTTGGGGTTGGAGGCTAAAGTTTCAGGGGCCAAGCTCTGGAACCTGCCCTACAGCCTAGCCTGAACGTAACATATTATGTTCTACTACATTCAAGTATTATGGTGAAGTCTAGTCTATATTTAGTGCATTATACTACATTGAAGTATTATCATATAGTCTAGCTGCTTATTCAGTTTAGTACAGTACCGCGAAGCTGAGGCAGTCCAGCTGCAGCCACCAGTGTCACACACGGAACAGCTCGCTGCACAGGCCACATGGCATAGCCATTATCATAGGGATCCTTAGGGGTGTAGGGAGGAGGGGTGTAGGGGACTATATTTCCTTAAATAGGCCTTATTAGTCCTTATTAGTCCTTATTATGGGCCTTAAGGCCCCCTACCCCCCCTCCCCCTACACCCCTAAGGATCCCTATGACATTATCTTGTCTGAGGCTCAAGGGTCATCGAACTATAGTAGAAGCTTAGGGTTTAGGGGTTTAGGGTTTAGGGTTTAGGGGTTTAGGGGTTTAGGGGTTTAGGGTTTAGGGGTTTAGGGGTTTAGGGTTTAGGGTTTAGGGGTTTAGGGGTTTAGGGTTTAGGGTTTAGGGGTTTAGGGTTTAGGGGTTTAGGGGTTTAGGGGTTTAGGGTTTAGGGTTTAGGGGTTTAGGGGTTTAGGGTTTAGGGTTTAGGGTTTAGGGTATAGTAGAAGCCAGAAAGTTGGAACATGGCTTTAGGAGGATTAGTGATAGGATCCTTTATAGTTTACCTTAAGGGTATGAGGACAACTATGTTCCAACTTTCTGGCTTCTACTGTATCATCTTGAGTACCTAAAAGCCCTAAATATAGCATAGGGTTTTGTAACCTATACCATAATGCTCACACTACAAATTTCAAACTGTAGGAGTATCAAAGCTGTCGGCTTCAATTCAATCGTCAAACCTACTGTACACGAGACTTTCTGCTCAGCTTGTTCAGCTATTTGCGGGAATGGATTTTCTGCAGACACTAAAACCTTGAGCCTTCCACCCTCAACCCCGCAAGCCACAAGCTGCAACATCGCTGGACTTTCCCCAAAGCCCTAGCGCCGAGAATCACCAAAGATTCAAGCGTGTTCATCCCTCGTGTCTATTGTACTCATGTCATAGTGGCCCTGGCCCGAGACGCCTTCCTCGAGTTGCACGCACCCAACCTTGCGGGTGCAGTGGTACAGAAACCTCCTTGTTGCACAACAGCATCTCGGAACGGTGTGGCTCGACAAGGTTTTATCTTGCGATTTTGTTTGGTGTTGGGGTATCACCCTGCATTTCTTTTGCAGCGGCCGCTAAACAGGCATATCCAAGGACTACGTGCAAGACCTGAGTCAGAAGGGCTAGGGCTCCGTACTAGGGTTCTGAGGTTCATCACTGCAAAGATCTGCACAGCCTACCTAATTCCGAAAGCCTAAGCCCTAGTCACGGAATAGTCGTCGAGAGAATTCAATGCACAACACCTATCATCCCAGTACCGGGCAGATGAAGCACCTTGCCGGGCTCTTCAGTTCTGGAGCAGTAAGCTAAGGGGTTTAGGGTTTAGGGTTTCGGCTTCTGTCTGAAACGCGGTGCACACCCCTCTCATGTGATGCATCAGCCCGATGCGAAACCTGCAGAATGGAGCGTAAACGGACGGGATCACAGCCGTGACCCATAACCCCAGAACCTACGGTTTGGGGTTTTAAGGGGCTTGCCTTCGGGATAAGCATGTCGTCATTACCACCTTTAAGAATCGCTTGAAGGGGGTTTCCTAAGGGCTCTGCTGTCGAGGAAGACTGGAGCCCAGCGCCTTCGGTTTGAGGAGTCCTGGACCTGAGAACCGAGATAGAGGGTGCACGGTTTAGGGTTTAGGGTTTAGGGTTTAGGGTTTAGGGCTGGGTTTCGGATGGCCGCTGTAGATACATCCTTAAGGTATTTAGGGTTTAGGGGCTATCCTGAAACCCCTGAGCCCAAAGCCTTTTTAGCACATTGACATGAAGTCTCCTAAACTGGCTTCGCTTTCGAAGAGCATTTGTGTGCTGAGCTGTGCGAGCTGCGGTTGAAACACATTGCCTCATAGCCCGAAAGCCAAGTCAAAAGAAAGCTGAGCTGCAAGCCGGCTACCCGAACAAACAGGACTGCATGACGACGTGACTTTCAACCCGTAAGCCACCATGAAGAAACCCTCACCAGGATCCTTGGCTTACCGCAGTACAAGCCCAGAACCCTGGTTTGAGGTGAAGTTGAAGGACCCTGCTTCCTTTTGCAAGCACGGTGTGCGTCCTTTAGGTTTCATGGCTCTTCAAATTTTTCTCGGGGTGCTTATAGGACTTGTACAGATGGAAACACTGTCCAGCGCGGGTTGTAGTTTCAAAGTTTGTGGTTGAAAAGGTCAGGTTTAGTTTAGATAAAATCTAAGCCCTAAACTGCTAAACACTTGTAAGGGTTTTTCAGTCAAAGACCGAGAATTCAGAGTATTGTGGGGACCGGACACAGCGAGGTCGCCTTGGATTACTAGAGTATCATGTTCGGACATCTGAGGAGCAGCGCGCATGCCTAAACTTCGCTGCAGAATATTCGGTCGTCAGAACCAGACAAAGTAGGAGTTGTCTGAAGGACAGAAGATATGAGCAGGGAAGAGGAGCCCGAACAAAGAAGACAAGCGCAGAGGAGAGGAAGACCGATGTTCATAGGATGCGACCTGCACGACCACTTGGGGTTTTATGTAGGGATTCAATAAGAGTATCATATGTATGGCTTTAGTACAGGGTTTCCTACAGGTATTCTTATGACCACAAACCAGAACATGAAATCCACATCCTAAACCCCAAGGCACAAACCCTGAGATGTACGTACCCCCACTATTCCCAACCTTTAAGCGCTGAAACCAAACAAAGACAGCTGCGTAATGCGGGGCCGGGTGGCAAACTGTCGAGCGGATCAGCAGCCGGCCATGCCATCTGGCATTCATACCCACCTTCAGGGCTTAAAGTTTTTGGGGTTGGGTTTAGGGGTTTAGGATGGTTTAGGGTTTAGGGCTGCCAAGATTGGAGGTGTTACTGCGGGTTATAGGGTTTATTATTGCATGTGTAAAGTTAAAAAGTTTGAAGGGCTGAAGGTAGTTACCATGGGGTTTGGTGACTTTCAGGGTGTTGTATTCCCTATAGTCTCCATTGTAGTTCCTTTTTTAGGTTTAACCAAATATATAACTCGGATCCTATAAGGTAACCCCAAAAAGGAACTACAATGGAGACTACAGGTCTTGTTTCGTAGTTACCATGGGCCCCCTAAACCCTAAACCCTAAACAAATCGTGATTTTTCGGTGTGTTGTAGTCTTGTTACGATTCCAAGGATGTAAGGACTCCAGGTTGGCTTGTACTGGTCTTTGTTGGCTTTATGGAGAACCCTAAACCCTAAACCCTAAATCCCTAAACCCCTAAACCCTACATCCTAAACACCTAAACCCTAAATCCTAAACCCTAAATCCTAAACCCTAAATCCTAAACCCTAAATCCTAAATCCTAAATCCTAAACCCTAAACCCTAAACCGCTAAACCCTCAATCGTTTTTATGGAGCCTCTTGAGGCTTCACGGGTTCAGCCCTGAGGCTCCCTTCCCCTCCCCTCCTCGCCCACTTAAGCAGAGCTGTGATCCTTCTTCGGGTTTTGGGGTTTGGGGTTTAGGGTTTTGGGGGCTTAGGGTCTTAGAGGGTTTAGGGTTTTGGGTTTAGGGTCTTAGAGTTTTGGGGGTTTAAGCCTACATGTGGAGTTCCCGAAAATGGGGACCCTCAAACAAGGACCCTAATATAATTAGTATGATCCGTATTCTAAGGGGCCCCAAATTGCCAAAACAAGGTACCCCGATTTTTTCGGAAGCTCCCATGTATCATAAATAGCCCCAAATCCCCCATACAAGCCTCACAAGATACCGTGTCCCCGCACCCTAAACCCTAAACCCTAAACCGTAGACCCTAAACCCTAAACCCTAAACCCTAGACCCCAAACCCTAAACCCTAAACCGCCCGTAGAGAGCCTTGGCCTCTAATCGGTAGCCCTTGGCAGGATCCTGCAAGGAAGGAGAGGACGCAGATTCAAGGTCTTCAGGATTTATACATGCAAGTCGATGAAGGACTTACGAGTTTGGGGTACCAGGACTCTGGGGATTAAGGTTTCGAGCTCAAGGCCTTTGAGAGTCTAAATTCGTTCAAGTTCCGACTCCTCCCATGGGGCCCTGAATCTCGTGCGGAGTAAACCCTGAACCTGAAAACTCTTTGCACTCGATTCAACCTGAATCTCAACCAAAACTCTAAGCCCCAGCACCTTCAACAGTAAACCCCGAACGGTAAAACTTCCGACCAAGTACCGACATCTGCAAGGACAGAGGACCGCAAGCACGGGTCAGTAGAGGTTTTGGGATTAGAGCGAACGCTCCCGGGTTGTGAGTTTAGTGCTCAAGTGTTGGAGCAGGGGTGGTGGGGCGGGCTTACTATGCCAATCACAAAAAACGAATATCGACATGCTCATTCTACCGTACATACATGTCGCATGGACCGCAGCACAACGAGCAATCGTCACCAGCATGGTCAGCATCATCATGACTACATCACTTTGACTGTCATCATGAGCATCATTATTGCCATCATTGTCATCAACACCAGAATCATCAAAGACAACGACGGCTGCAAATGCGACGACAATGGGAGCAGCATGATAATGATGATCCCTCCGTTTTTCGTCATCATCAATCTCACCATCCAAACTCAAACCCTAGCGGCGAGAGGTCCTTGGCATAGTCCCAGAGCATCCTTGTGGAGAATTCGGGTGCAGGGTTTGGGCTATCAGCTGGTTTCTACGAACTACAGGTTGGATGTACCAGAAATGAGCGAATGATTCCCCGTGAAGCCTAGGCTAGGAACAAGAGCAATGCTATGCGCCTGAACGCGCGAACACAAACACAAACACACACGCACACGCGCACGCACACGCATGCCGGCACATGCACGTACATACACACACACACACACACACACACACACACACACACACACACACACACACACACACACACACACACACACACACACACACACACACACACACACACACACACACACACGCACACACGCACACACGCACACACGCACACACGCCGCACACGCCGCACACGCCGCACACGCCGCACACGCCGCACACGCCGCACACGCCGCACACGCCGCACACGCCGCACACGCCGCACACCCGCACACCCGCACACCCGCACACCCGCACACCCGCACACCCGCACACCCGCACACGCACACCCACAAACACACACAACACACACACACGCACGCGCACACACACACACACACACGCACACACACACACACACACACACACATACACACACACACACACACACACACACGCATACACACAGAGACAAAAACCTATGCACAAGAACGCAGATACCTGGTTTCTAACACGAAAGCAGTTCGGAAGAAGCTGAGACGGAGACCATCGAGGTACTGCTCATGCTCACTAGCAGCTGAAGAACGGCCCAAGGAGTCTCTTTCGAGCTAGTCTTTTCTTCACAAAATTCAAAAATTGCAAGAACAGTCACAGCAGGAGAGACTGAAACCCACCTTTGCACAGGCGGCATGGAGGATCATTCACCAGACTAGCAGCCCTAAACCCTAAACCCTCAACCGACGACACCACCACTTCTGAAGCCAAGATTCTCCAGACTACCAGGCCTCTCGCCCTTGGCGGTCTGGTAGGCCTTTTGGCTAGGCTCTAGGGCTTTAGGGTTGCATGGCTTTGGGCTTTTGGTTTCATTGTCTTTGGGGATAGAGTCGTGCGTTGGAGGGATTGCTGGGAAAGGGGGCTGGGTCTAGAGTCTGGAGGCTCTTGGGGTTCGACCAAACCAAAGCGCTCGAACCAAATATAAGATGCCTGACCGTCAGCTACTTAGTTCATCACATGGGCACAGCAAACTCACGGTGCTTACCGGAGGGAAAGTTCCTGACATGAACCCGAAATCGTAGAGCTAGTGCTCGAAGACAAAACGACGCCACGAAGGAGACAAACAGTTTTGCCAAGCAAAAGCATGCTTGAGAACAACATGCCTTGGAGATGGAATCTGTGCCATCGGAGGTCACTACTAAACATCAACAATGCACTACGTAGACGAATGATGTTTCTGAAAAGCTAGCCTATTTCTGAAAGCATAACAGTAATGTCGGTGAAAGTGTGGATTATCGACATTGGTGCCACTGTCACATCTTATCTAAGTACCACTGCGATAATTACACATGTAGGTTATATAGATGCTATTGCGGCTCGGCTTTCGTTGCGGAGTTAATGAGACTGGTAGTGGTTCAATGACGATTATGGTGATGCTACTGCCGAATCAATCGGATGATGACGATGGTGATGATACTGATGCTGGCGTTGGCGATGAGTGATTTGAAGGTGGAGACGACAGTGATGATGTTGCCATCGATATCCGCTATCGGTGCAGGCCATGGCATTGGCATATGTGTTGATGTTGTGGTGGTTGTTCCTGGCTTCTGGTAAAGCTGCTGCCTGCGGTGGTCCTGATGGTCATGATGAAGTTGATGACGGTCCACCTATCATGCATTGTGGACCTGGCAATGATAGGCACAAACACAGTCATTGCGACGACACCACACTCAGCATCATCATCATCATCATGACCGTCATCATCATAATCATCATCACCACCATGATTCTCAGCACAATCAAGAGCAGCATCATCATCAGCATTAGCATCAGCACCATCATCATCGTTATTATCATCACCATCCTCATCCATCACCATGACCATCATCACCATCGTCACCCACAGCAACAACACCTGTATTATCACCTTCACCACAGGTTGCCCATTATCCTGCTTGCCCATAGGACCCATATGGTCAAGACATCTATCACTACAGTCACTACAGTCTGTGGTCCCCAATCCCTAAGCCCCAGCTTGACCACCAAGCCGAACCTTGCTATCTTTGGCGACGAGCAGGTGCGTGCCCCATGGGTATGGCTTGATCACCTGGGAACCGTCTCCACTGCTGGGTTCTTGTTAAGGGATTTAACTTAAGTTACCATCATAGGGATCTACAGTAATAATACGACTCCTTATTATGGCAACTGAACTTAAATCCTTTAACGAGATCCCAGCTTGTGATGCTTGTATAGCTGGTAAAAATTGCTAAAGTCTAGATTGACGGCTCGAGGTAGCTATGCAGCCGATCACAAAGTAGCCGTGTGTGAGGGCTACATGTGCTGACATAAGCGGATCCTTCTGCACTATATTCTACAACACTTGTGGAAGTAGCAGAAACAAGTACGCACTATGAATGGACGGAGAGACGAACAGGCCAAGTTTTTGCACACCTGCCTGGAGGTGGAGGCGCTGACGAACCACTTTTGCTTAATCCGGAGCGTTTATCTTCGGGACCTCTAATAATTTCGAAGGGTGGGGACAGGGAATGCGAAGCGAGGTTTAAGTGCTCCAGTTCCCTCCTCCCACCGCTCGAGAGCGCAACAAACGGGGTTGAAGGTGTGTACCCAAAGGCCCCAAAGTAGTTCCGTTTTTTGGTGTTCACATATAGAAACCCATCGGGTAACCCCAAAAAGGAACTACTTTGGGGCCTCTGGGTACTACATACTGCGCTGCTAAAGTTGCCACATAGGAGCCTTTTCAAGACCCTGTACTAGTCCTTGTAAAAGTCTACGCCGAAGCCTACACAACATCACACAAATACAGCACGAATCGCAACAGTCAGTTAGCAGGTGGACACTCTCGCGCCTTCTCTTTCACAACGTCCGTTGCATCTGCTAGTTCCCAGCCTGTGCTTGCTCGGTTTAGGTTTTTTTGCAGAGGGTTGAAGTTTACCTGACCCCCACTCTCAAAACATCAGCCCTCTTTAAAGATGAAGCTGACGAATGCAGGATTGCTACAGAGTTGAGGTAGGATTTGGGAATGGATGGAGGGCTTAGGGGTTAGATAGGGATCTTCCGGGCTTTCTAAGGCTCGGTGGGGGTCTTCGGCCGTTGAACGTTATGTTCGGGGGATCTCGTGCTTGGGGTCTACTTGGAGGTTCATGGGTAGTTATAAGTAGAGTTCTAAGCCCCTTAATATGGGTAATACTAGTAATTACGGTTACAATGCTTATAACTTATAAGCCCACTTATAACTACCCATGGACCTCCAAGTAGGCTCGGAAATCAGCTGAGAACTCGGGGATTGGGGCTTTGGGGTTCCTCGAGTTTGCCGATCTGGGTGGCCCTTACTTAGGAGGCCGTCTGCTGCCCGCAGGCACTCGGCATTGATGACCGTCTGGAGTTAGGGGGGTCTTATTTCAGGGCCTTGACAATTAGAATAGGGTTTTGGGGGCCCATTATGCTACATTTCTGATAAGGAGCCCTCAAATGGTATGGGTAATTTTTTAGGGCTTTATACTACCACGTTGAGACGTTGAGACCCTCGGCCAGTTTGAATTCCACTCTTTGGCACGAAGGTGAGAGTTCTTGTTTGGGCCTGCGCTATGCGCATGGTATGTTTCAACTCGATTTGTTCGTGCACTAAAGGCCCACACCACCCAACCCCGATTTTTGGTTTAGGGTAGAGCTTATGGCATGACTCCTGGAGGACTGAGCTTCTGGGGTCACGGGTCAGTGTTCAAACACGATCCAGCCGTTTAAACACCCATCGACAACCCCGAATCCAAAAGCCTTAAGCCCTAATCCTGAACCCTGAACCCTAAACCGAAACCCTAAACCCAAAACCCTAAACCGAAACCCAAAACCCAAAACCCCAAACCGAAACCCAAAACCCAAAACCCCTAAAACCCCCAAAACCCAAACTCCTAAAACCCGAAAACCCTAAACCCAAAACCCTAAACCGAAACCCGAAAACCCAACACCCCTAAAACCTGAAAACCCAAAACCCCAAACCGAAACCCGAAAACCCAACACCCCTAAAACCTGAAAACCCAAACTCCTAAAACCCGAAAACCCGAAAACCCTAAACCCAAAACCCTAAACCGAAACCCGAAAACCCAACACCCCTAAAACCTGAAAACCCAAAACCCAAAACCCAAACCCGAAAACCCAACACCCCTAAAACCTGAAAACCCAAAACCCTAAACCGAAACCCGAAAACCCAACACCCCTAAAACCTGAAAACCCAAAACCCCTAAAACCCGAAACCCAAAACCCCAAAAGCCCGAAAACCCCTAAAACCCGAAACCCCTAAAAGCCCTAAAACCCGAAAACCCAAAAACCCCCAAAAGCCCGAAAACCCCCCCAAGAAGGGGCCTCCCGGGATCTTGTTGTAAGTCAGCCCCTTGGAGCCCTCGTTGGGCTGGTAGTAGCGCGGGGTGACGTCTAGACCTTCGGTTTAGGGGTTTAGGGGTTTTTGGGGTTTTAGGGTTTTTGGGGTTTAGGGTTTTTGGGGTTTAGGGTTTTGGGGGTTTGGGGTTTAGGGTTTTGGGGGTTTAGGGTTTAGGGTTTAGGGACCTCTAAGGTAAAAGCCAGAAAGTTGGAATATGATTATCCTAACCCTTCTATGGTAAAATATAGGGTATCCTACCATGAAACCATATTCCAACTTTCTGGAGTTCCCTATATCCCACGAGGTTTAGGGTGTAGGGTTTAGGGGGCCCGCGAGAGGCTTTTTAAGGCCTAGGGCTTGCAGGGCTGAGGGATGAGTGTTTCGAGTTGAGTTTGTTGTTAAAATTTGGGGGTCATGGGTTTCAGAAAGCACTCCTGCTCTGGAACGGGAGGAGATGCCGATTTGCTACTGATTCCGGATGGAAAATCACAGCACGGACGCCCGAAGACCCAACATCAGAACTCAGCCAAACACTTCCAGTCGGTGTCCACCACCTACTGTGAAGGCCTTAACAATAAGACTAGTGTTTATGGCCATTATACTGTAACTATAATAACAAGGAACCCCCCCAAAATAATACAGGTAGTTATTAAAGCCCCAAGAGAAAGTTCCAGGCCACACAGTTCAGATTCCTGTGCAGCCTCGGACAAGCCATCATCAAAACCAAACCCACCTCGTTTAGCAAAAGCTGCTTTACAAAGGAGCCATGAAACAAGAACATGAAACTGATTTAGACGCCCTGGCCCAGGAGAAAAACCTGCAACATGAAAGGCCCACAGCAACTACCTCGAACCCTATAGAAACACTGTCAACTCCCACCCAAAACCCTAAGCAAACAACACCGTGATTCCTATAGCCGCGCACCCTATCTATCTATCTATCTATCTGATTATATACACATATATGTTAGATAGCAGGAGAACTTTTCCTGCTGAGGCCCTGATAGCCCAGGCCTATGTCCGGAACAGACTGGGGAGGAGTGAAGTCGATCGCCGCGTAGAGGTGGCCTACAGAGCGAGCGTCGGCTGCAGTGAACCCAAAGGGTTTATAGGGTTTGGTGTATAGTAGTATAGTATTTACTTCTGGGGCCCAAACACCTACCAAGTACCCACTGTACTTGGACCCTTTGGGGACGAAAGAATCTGTGGTGGGACTTGGTTTCTTCGCACGGAAGCTATGTTGAGGGGTGTAGGGGTCGGCTTTTCGCTGCTAGCATGCCTTCTTCGGGGTTTAAGCTTTTGGAGTGGGAGCCTATACCGAGGAACCATGGAACGTAAGGCTTGAGATTCAGGGATGGGTTTGGCGGCTCGGCAATCGCGCGTTCTCTTTGGGGATCAGGATTCAGGGCGGGGGTTTGGGGTGTAGCCTGGGCTTCTTGAAGGGGAACACCTTGCCCTTGGTTTCCTGCTCCACTCGCGTTGACCACCGAATCAGCTTCTTGGAACAGGAAATGATGCGAGCCCGGATGATGAGGCCCCCTGCAGGATAATAACAGCGAAGTGAAAATTTCAGGTCGATGGTCCGGGCTTAAGGGCTCTAGTTTTTACTGTAGAGGGTCTTTGACTGTCTAATGTAGGACCCTAGTCTTCTCGTCCTTCGCCTACACACTCCAAACCCCCATCTTGAAATCCTTAACGCGGCCCCGTAACTCAATGCCCCTAAACCCTAAACCCTAAAAAACAAAAAAAACAGCCCATATGATCGACCCTCGCACTCGATGGCGTTCTGCCGCTGCTCTAACGTCACCTGGGCGCGTTGAGGTTGCAATGCCAAGGGCTAGGTTTAGGGACTATAGGGCTTTTAGGATTTATGGGCTGAGGGTGTATATTAGGGCGTTGCGATTTAGGATTTAGAGCGGGGTTTAGGGAGGATCTATGGGCTGAGGGTGTATATCAGGGTGTTGGGATTTAGGATTTGGGGTGGGGGTGAGTGTAATTAGAGTTAATTGAAAGTTTAGGTTTAGGTTCAGGCTAGGTTGGTTGGTTTAAAGACACAAGTGTGACATCTCAGGGGGGGTCTCAAAACAACGAAGACCAAAGTCCCAATCAACCCTTCCAGGACATAGGTTGGAATCTCCATTTCGAGCGATTATGAACGGTTTGGGGTTTAGGGCTTAGGGTGAGGATTCGGCTGAAGGCTACCTGTAAAATGGCTCCCAAACCATCCAGGATCTCACGCAGTCTGAGATCAAAAGTCAGAGCTTACATGTGCTGAGGTCCCTTGGCTCGCATGAACTACTGTCAGTATGACCTGAGGGCATCACCCCTCAAGACGACTCTTGGCGGACAGTGTCATGATCAGCACATGGAGCCCTATGTGCTGTCATTCCTGTGACAGAGAATTTAGTTACACTTCATCGCCCATAAACCTAAACCCTAAAGTCGAAAGCCCATAGCCCCAAACTCTGAGCCACCTACTTGCCTTCAAGATCTAGGGCTCTGCGCATAGGCGAGGATTCCGGATATTAGGATTGTGCTCTACAGGAAGATAATAATGCTGCAATGCTGCTCTTGCAGAACTACCGCAGGTGCCAGACGGTGCCCCTCAACACTCGAACATACAACCGCAAGACAACCTGCACGTAAGGTTCGCAGTCTCATCCACCCAGAAGCCTAACTTTCGTTCCCTTCAAGGTACCCTCCAATCGCGGCAACTGCAGATGGACGTCCGGTCTCTTTTCTCGGCGGCTCTTCTCGAAGCATGTCCAACCAAGCCAACCTGAACACTGACAGACCCTGTAGACGTCAAAATCAAACTGTAAGCCCCAACCCCCCGAAGCCCGCAACGGAATGGTTTTTTGCCTACATATGTATGTATATGTATATATATATATATATATATATATATACAGATATAACATGTGTGTGTATATATATATATATGTATATGTAAAGACCCTGAGAAGTAGGACTCTAAATGGAGGGAAGCCCCAAGAGGCCCAAGAGGGATCCAGGTGCCGCACTCCCTCCTCCGGCTCTTCCTGAAAGGAGGTTCGAGTTTATAAGGCTTCAAGTTTAGAGGATCCCTCAACCCTAAACATCCGTAAACCCTAAACATCCGTAAACCCTAAACATCCGTAAACCCCAAAAGAACCTCTGAACCCTTAAGAGCTCATAGGGCTGCGGCTTGCGGACAGACTTCTGGTGCCAGGGCCTTTCAACAGGATCGATCGACGAACTTATGAACAATCACTGTATAACAGACGCAGCAATAACGATCATACCAACAACGCTAGGGTGGAGGGTCTTTAAACGGATCGAGCACAATGCAACCTATGGGGCCTAGGGCCCGTGGCTTCGAGATTAGCTACGGGGCTTTTGAGGTATGTGCGCTGAAAAGGAAGAAGTGAACGGCATTCAGGTCCAGACAATGTGGCGATGGCAAGCGAGGCATTGATGGTTGCTGCGCGACAGTATGTATATATATATATATATATATGTGTATACATGCGTATGCAAATTCATATTCACGTATATATCTCATACATAGAAGCAACCTGTTGAGACCATCAGCGCCACTAGCTTCTTGCAAAAGAATGACCTGATGTTGGAACTCGGTCAGCTCCTCAACATCTTCAGAATGGCTTTCCTCGCTCTCTGCATCTTCGCACAAGGCAAGGGCAATCTCTTGGTCCCTTCTTGGTCTCGCTTCGTTGCCTCACTCTGGTAGCCACCCGTGGTATCCGAAGAGGAAGCCATGACTTCAGCGAAAGGAGGGCACGAAATCTTGGAAGGTCGAAGATGCTGAAAACAAGCCTGCAAACTTGAAACACCCAAACCCAAACCCCCAAACAACAGCTAACATGAATTATGACAAATAACTATCGAAACTCTTGGTGAAGCATCTCATCCACCAAAATAAGAGAACCACGCAAAACATAGAACTACTAAACGTAGTTAACTGTAGTACCAGAAAGTCAAACTAATGAAGTACAAATAACCTTCGGGTGCAGGGCTTAGGTGTAGGGCTTATTTATGGTTTAGGGATTAAGGGTTTAGCGGTTTAGGTTCTAGAGGTCTAGTGTTTGCGGTATGGAAGTGGAATGCCCCATGGTCAAGCAGCCTGACCACACTGTGTATGACTCACTGACCATGCATGCGATGAGCCCATGATGACGTCAAACCCTGAGCCCTGAAACCCTACAAGCCCTGAACCCCAAAAACCATAAAGGCCTTGCTTCCAGCTACTACATATTCGAAAATCTGGTGTATCTAGTGTAAGCCGATCTTCGCGGGAGGCCGTGGCATAAGACGAACATCGACATTTAGGATGTAGGGTTTAGGGTTTAAGGCTTTGATTTAGGAACGCTTGCCTGTTTCAGCCGGGACGTACATTCATGGGCGTGCCTCTTGAAACTTTTGCTTGCAAAAGGGCCTTTGCTTGGGATAGACAGCTTTGCTGCTCGATACGCTCTCGGGCTGCAGCTAGTGTAGCAGGCATCGCCCCGAACCCTTCCATGCCAGGCATGGTTGTGGTTTTGCAGTGTGTCTCCGGGCCAGGCTCATAGCGCACGGCACAGCTTTGTGCAAGTTGGGCTTTGACTTGAAACAGCCACCGCTTCAACTGCGACGGCTTGTTGTGCAGTAGCCCTTTCATGAACATCTTGCAAGGCTGAGACGTCTTGTTGAGTACTGAAACTGCTTTGTGCATCATTCTTGCGGCACATAGTCAGCGAAGCTTGGACATGCTTCATAAGACAAAGAGTACGGTTTTGGTTTGGGGCTTAGGATTTAGAGTTTTAAGGTCTCCAAACCTCCCTGATATACTCACTCTAGTCTAAACCCGCATAGAGCCCTTTGCAGGAACCCTGATAGTAACCTTATAGTAGCCCTTTTAAGGAATATACTCACTGATACATGTGGAGCACGTAGCAAGGCCCCCCGTCCTTCTTCGCGGGCGGAGGTATCCTCGTCATCACCGGAGAACGGCGTGCGGGCCTTCGATCATCCTGTGAGAAACATGGGTTTGGGTTTAGGGTTACACTTTAGGGACTTGATAATTAGCCCAGATAATCTCAGAACGAGGCGTTGGGTTTTGCATTGAGCGTTTTTTCAACAGCGCTTTGGCCGATAATTATACCGGCTTACATGGGCATACATTCTTCATTCCATTCAGCCAAGAACACCTGGGTTTTTGGGATGCTTGTGCTTCAGGGTGTGATCTTCTTGGTCTTCGGCCTGGGAATAGTGGCCAAAAACAGTCAGATAGACAAGCCTATGAGGAACATGTTTAAAGGAGGTGGACCAAAAATCAACCTACTGATAACGTCCGCTCTCCTCAAAGGTTTTCAAAATCACGCGAGGATGAATTCGTACATCGCCGGAAGCCCAAAACCGAAAGCCCGACAACAAGACAAGCGACCGACCCACCCCCCCATACGACTACGGTTTAGAGTTCAGAGTTTCGCTCCGAAACCACACTAACAAAACCAAAAACGGTTTAGGGTTTATAGGGTTTAGGGGAAACAACACCCAACAGAGGTACAAGCATGCGATTCGGCCGATCCTCTCGCCGCCGAGGGCTCCGCCGATCGCGGCTCCGGCGGTCCCGGCTGCGACTCCGGCTCCGCCCTTGGAGCAAAAGGTCTGGCGAATACTATAGGGGCCTTTCTTTGTTATCAATTAGTACTATTTGGGGCTTCCTTCTTATAATTATGGCATACTGAGCCCCGAAACCCTGTTCGAATTATTAAGGCCCCCATATTGCGGAGGAAACATCGGGTTTAGGATGTGGGGTGTTGACTTCGGGGTTTCGGGTCCGAACAGGGCAACTGGTGTAAGCGCGTCAAAACCTAACCGCAAGGCGGCCCCACTATAACCTAAACCCTAAACCCTAAACCCTAGACCCTAAACCCTAAACCCTAAACCCTAAACCCTGAACCCCTAAACCCTAAACCCTAAACCCTATAACTGCCTCCAGTAGGCCCCTTTCGTACCCCAAGGGTCCAAGCACCTGATACTCATAAACTTTCCCAAATCCTAACCTACATAACTACTATCCTATAAACTTACCAAAATCCTAACCTGCATAACTATACTATCCTAAAACCGAGTACCTAACTATTGGGTCCTTTGGACCCTCAGGGTTACGTCTTCAGACTCCCAGGGTGTTGGTCAAGAGGCCGTACCCCCCCGCCCTCGCAAATGATGGCTCGGGATCGGCTGGTGGACTCGGGGAGGGTTTCGGGTTGCAGGTTTCGGGCTTGGGACTTGGAGGTTCAGGGCTTTGCATCAACATCAACCATAGCAGTATTATACTGACTATAGTGAATATGATTATGCCTACATAGACTAAAGGCCTGCAGTACACCAAGCCCTTGTTGACAAGTGCGTGCTCAGTAGAGACCGGACGACCCGTTACTCCGTTACTCCGCTCAGCACACCAGCTTGCGAGCACTACATCTTATGACAATCGACACTTCAAGCTCCCATCCTCCAGAACAGCACCAACACCCAGTGTAAATGGCGAATGTCTGAACATAGTAATTAGAGATGCAAGTCAATTGGCATGTAGCTACCGATATCTGAAGGGAGCCGCCGCATCCCTCATTTAGCCTGCTACATGAAATTGAAGGCGCCACATACGGGCATGCGTATGATATAGTAATATAGTCCTTATCACTATAGTTCTTCTCTGTTAAATTACGACGACGGCCAGTCACCACCACCAGCACCACCTCAGACATCTCTGTTGTTCTAAGATTAGATTCCTGGCTGTTGTTACAGCAGCTATCACAGATTATAGGAGTTCGGGCCATCAGCGATTTAAGGTTTAGGGTTTAGGGTTTCCCATGGTTTCCTTCCCCTAAATCCTAAAAGCACTTCTGAGTTCATGGCGGTCTCGTCGATCTCTACTGCGACTGCGCCGGCCTGCAGCAGGGCGACCGATGAGCTTAAGTTAAACAGGCTCGGGCCTCTAGGGTTTAGGGCTTAGGGTTTAGGATTTAGGGTTTAGGATTTAGGGTTTACCCTAAGGCCCCAAAGTAGTTCCTTTTTGGGATTACCTTATAGGATTCTATATATGAACCCCAAAAAGGAACTACTTTGGGCCTGTGGGTACCGAGAGTCTCCATTGTAGTGCCTTTTTTTGGTTAACCAGTTTTATGGTGAGGATCCTATAAATGGAATTTTGGTCAACCAAAACAAGGAACTGCAATGGAGACTGTAGGTAGGGTTTAGGGTTATGAAGCCTTGGGTTTGGGGAGGTCTGGCTTAGATTTGGGGTAAGCTGACAGCTCTTTGAGCTTTCCAGCCACGATAGGTAGAGGCACATACTAGAGGAACTTGTAAGGCTTGACGAACACAGAGGCTGCTGGGAGTGCATATGCCCACCTTACCTTCGCCGAAACAATGGATCTGAAAGGAGCGGTCACCAAACACAAACACGAACGGTTTAGGGTTTAGGGTTCAGGGTCTGCCACTCGGACACCAATATAGATAGACACAGTAAGGCCTTACCACCTCAACACCTTCTTGCGGGTTCCAGCGGTCACACACGCGCTCGTCAAAGAGATGCACCAGGGAAGAGATGCACCAGGGTGTACCCTGATAGAACCCTCAAACAACCCAAACAGTAGCCCTCCAAACAGGAGCAGCCGGTAGGCCGCAGGCTTTCACACTTCTAGACGGGGGGGGGCCGGGCCCCGAAACTCCAAACCGCTGAGCCCTTAAAGCATGACGTTTTGGGTACAGGAGATGCATCGGTGCCTAAGGGCGTAGAGAGCGGTTTCTGGTAACCTTGAACCGTACATCCGAAGCTCGACGATCGAAATCTGATATCCGAGCCACGCGGACCTCTGGACTGGAGTTAGCAAGGTCCGATTAAGCGAAGCCCTCCAATTTGCCATTCCTTGAATTCTGCAAAACCCTAGAGTAAGCAGTAAGCCTCAAAACGGTTGGAAAACGGATTAAGGACAATTAGTGCCGGGATTATCTGTACATGCTTCTTAAGGTTTAAGGCTCTTGGGTTTCCAACCTCTCGGGCTTCCACCCTAAACCCCACTCAACACATGGGAGTTTCCGAAAAAAAGGGAACCCCAATATAGTACCCTGAATACTAGGATCCTTATTATAAGGAGCCCAACATAAGGTACCCCTAGTTTTTGGAAACTCCCACATTCCCCACAGAACCGATCCTGGCATGGCGCCGACTCCAGCAACGGTCGAACACAGCTTGAGACGAAAAGCTGCAGGATGCCACACTGCTACCTAGAGGCCCCAAAGTAGTTCTTTTTGGGGGTTCATATTTAGAATCTTTTAAGGAAATCCCAAAAAGGAACTGTTATAAGTAGGGTAACTATACTTTAAACTCATATTCGGGCACTTAGAGAACTAGGCATGAACCTCCAAGTACTGCTAGTTCTGACCTTTAGAGGTTTAGAGTTTATGCCTAATAGAGCCCATTTCCGCAGTCTTTATGATAGATACTCTGGAATAGAGACTACAGTGGCAAGATCTACAACAGAGCAGATTCTAATACTCGAAGTTTGCTTCTACGGCACCTGCTCCAGTTAGCCCAAAACCTGCCTGAAGTATTTGGGACCCGGTTATCCTGAGCTTGTAGGCATAGGGATGTGGTAGTGCGATCAATTATCACAGAGTCACACGAGCTATGTTTCATTTCCAGGCCCGAAACCTTTCTGAAAATGGAGCGAATCCCACCACCACAAGCCCCAGACTGTCGCCCATAACATCGACACTTGACTTCTGGAGCCCTCCATTCCACCGACGACGGAGGTAGACTTACGAGTGGGGATCAATGTCTGCGACTGCGAGCTGACGGAGCACCGAAACCCGAACTCCTAACGAGAGCTTCCGAAATCTGGTGCCCTAAAGCCGGCACTTTGCAGGCGGTGGCCCTGAAGAGACAAGAGCGCAGAGGGGCTGGGGTTTGGGCTTTAGAATTCGAGGATCTTCTGGGTTTTTCGAACCCGAAAAGACCCTTAAACCCGAAAGTGCCGCTAAGCACCTCAACCATCATAAAGAAACCTGTACCGCAAAATGCCCTCTCAACTGCAAACTACTGTTAAGCCTCAAGCACCATAATGAACCCGAAATGTTCCGATATAGTCACCTTTGTCCCCTATTTTGGATTTAGGGCCGGAAAATCGTGGGGAGAGGGCGTAGCGGGTAGTCTCTTTCTACCACTACAACTATTGGGCCCCATTTGCTACACTCTCATACTACCCCCTTATGGAACCCTTGCAGGAACACCTAAAGTACGCCTTGTAGAACTTACACGACCTAATCCTATTCTTAGGTATCCCAGGGGCCTTCCGCAGACATGCAGTCTAACTTCCGGCCGAAGCCCTTCAGCAAGGACCAGATGGGGTCCTGCTCCTGCTTCCAGGGTTTTTTTGTTCAGGGATTTTAGGGGTTTAGGGTTCAGGGTTTGGGCTGCTTCCAGGGCTTATGGGTTTACGTTGATTAGGATTGGGGTAATCCTAAACCTTATAGCTGAAAGCCTTAACACCGAAACTAACAATCTAAAGCCCTGAACAAGAACTCTGAAAGCCCGAACCTGCCTTCCACGATCGCGAACTATAGACCGGGTAGGCTCTTTTGAGGTTTGAAGGTTTAGGGTTTAGGGTTTAATTAGGGTTTAGGGTTTAGGGTTTGGTGCATTGGTGGGGCTTACCTTATGTGGGGGCTTGCAAGCTAACTCTAGGAATCCTTAAAAGAATTCAGTTAGGGTTTGAATAGGAAATGAATAGGAAATGGAGAATTGGAAAAACAAGAAATGAATAGGAATCGAATAGGAAACCAATAGAAACCGCCATTCGATAATTAGGAAATTATTAGGACAGAAATAAGGCCGGAAAAAGGAAATAAATAGAATCCAAATTCCAGGAGACCAAATACAAATACGACAAAATTAGGAACCAAGAAGGAAAACAACAGAGCCAAAATAGAGCCGAAATAGGACCAAAATTAGGACCAAAATTAGGACCATTTCCTGTTTTCCTATTTTTTCCTAATTTTGGTCCTAATTTTGGTCCTAATTTTGGTCCTAATGTTTTCCTAATTTGTTCCTAATTTGTTCCTAATTTTAGGAGGAAATTAGGTAAAAAAATAGGAAAATTAGGAAAATTAGGAAAAAATTAGGACCAAAATTAGGACCAAAATTAGGAAAGGTAAGGAAATTAGGAGAAAAATAAGAAACGGTAGGAGAAGTAGAAAGGAAATAAGAACATGTAGGAAACTAGGAAAATAATGCCAAAATAGGAAATATGGAAAAACAGAATTACGTCCTAATTTCGGTCCTAATTTTGGTCCTAATTTGGTTTAATGTTGATCCTATTTTTGTGCTTTTTATTGCTGGTTCCTAATTTTGCTTCTAATTTGGTTCCTAATAGTTTTCTATTTTCTTGTCTTTTTTCAATGTTGTCTCTTTTGCTACTTTTCTATTTTGTCTCCTATTTGTTTCCTATTTTTTTCCTATTACTTTCCTATTTCCCATTCCGGGCTTTCCTAATTTAGGGCCTAATTGTTTCCTAATCGACTTTCCTAATTGTTTCCTAATTAAATTAATTTTAAACATTCCTAGTGGTAGCTTGAAGCCCCCACATAAGGCTTACCGGTCGAAGCTCTGGATGCTTTCGTATGAGAGTCCTGGTCAGTTCAGGGATGCCAAAACCAAGAACACGCAGGAGGTTTGAGGGCTTAGGAAATTGCAGCGCAGTTGTTTTGCTGAGCTCTTTTCTCTGGACTTGTAGAGTCAAGGGTTCTGGGTTCGCGGATGTGGAGTCCGGGGCTGGATAGTAAATGGTAGCCTTCCCGATCCCTGCTGTCAGCCTTCACTCGGAGTTGATCTCCCGATGAGTGTCTTTTCTCAGTGGCAATTCGACTTCGTTCACGGCGTGGTCAGGATTGGTGCTGCCGTCAAATCTCTCGATCTCTGGATTCTACCGGAACTGGGGCATCGCTATGGGGAGCATGTCTCTCCGAGCTCCTAAGGAGAATGGAAACGCCAACCACAAGACTGCCGCCAGAATCGTTTACTATACTGCGACCCCTAGCTCAATCCTTATTCAGAGCCTGGGGTTGTCTGATCAGGAGCAAAAATAGCAACAAACCTGTAGGTACACAAAAATCATTTGACATCTCTTCAACTGAACCCTCAACCCTTGTCATCTTGTCAACTTGTACTCGTACACCCAAGCCCTAAACCCCAAACACAAAACCAAAAAAGCAACGAGAAGCCCTACCAACCCCAAACCGGAAGCCCTCAGCCCCACACCCTAGCAGAAAACGACGTCATGGGGCCCTGCAGTGTTGCTTTCAAAGCAGCCTTATCTGAGCTTCTTCATCATACCAATTTAAGAACATCCTGCCCTGGTGGCATGTATTTGCTCAACCCTAAACCCTGAACCCAAAGCCTCTAAACCCCAGACTTCCTGTGCGTCCTCTCAGATTCAACTCTAGACCCGACGCCCGTAATCCAGGGCCCCAAGAGCCTTCGGCTTGGAAGCATCCCAGATGGTCGGCAGCGGCGTTACCATCGCGCGACGGCGACTCGCCTGGCCCAGGTCTTTGAGAGTTGGGGGTTTAGGGGTTCAGGGTTTAGAGGTTCAGGGTTTAGGGCAGACAACGAGGGACCACTTTCCTTTTATCTTTTAGGTGCCATTTAGGGCTGTACATTGAAATAAACCGTTGTCTGGGACTTCCTTTTAGGGCTCAGGGCTTGGGGCTCTTAGGGTTCGGGTCTTGAGGTTCATGAGGCTATAAACGAAATGAGGTTTAGGAATTTCTTAATGGCTTGAAGCTTGGGATTCGAGGCATAGGGCTTAAGGGTGGGGGCTTGGTGATAGTGATTAGGTTTAAGGCATTGAAGTTGGTGTGTGTGTGTGTGTGTGTCTCTGTGTGGTTCGAACTCAGTTTTGAGAGTATACGACAGAAGGAACACCAATGAACAGTGCCCCACACAGGTATAAGTCCCGTCGTGATTGGCTCGTCGCTGATGAAAATTCCAACCCTCAAATCCCGTCCCCCAAACACACAAGCATGGAATCATAAACCAAAAACACCAAGAACACATCGCAGTGGCCCAGTGCTGGCCTTGAAGGTACATGGGCAGTCATATGCAGCCACGTGTAATTATGCGGATAAGCCTACGTGTATTCGACGTTGGTTGACAGGTCAGGTACACTGTCATATTCAAAATTCCTGCTCAATCATGTTCCCCTGTGCCTAAATTCGCACACCAAACAATAACCGAAAACCTTCGTGATGTGCCCCTGTGCCCGAACTCAGCACCGACAACGACCTAATACCAATGCTGAGTCTTCAAAACCTGGGCCCTGCATACCTTAAACAGAGACTATAAACAACCTAATAATATACAGTAAAAGCCAGAAAGTTGGAAAATGATTATCCTAAACCCTTTATGGTAAATGATAAGGTATCCTACCTAAAACCATATTCCAACTTTCTGGAGTTCCCTTTATACCCTAAAACGAAATATGAACACAGCTATATACCTTTACAGGACATGTGATAGGCCTGTGGCATCATGTCATTCAATGCCGCGCTCTCGAAGCCTGGCTCGAGAGGCTTTCAGTTGGGGTTTAGGGTTTAGGGATCCCAGCTTCCCCAAGTGTCCATGTACCGATATGGGTAGTTGTCAAAATTAGGGTCCCTTTTGGGGTACCCTGAATAAGAGGTGCCGTACTAGAACAGGGACCCAAAAAGGGACCACAATTTTGACAATCACCCATATAGTAACTCAGTTTTGGCTTAGGCCTTGAATTTCACTTTACAGGGCCCGCATGGTACATGATGTAGTAATGGTAGGCCCCTACAGTTTATGGGTAGCCGCATACAGCCGTCAATACGATGAACTACATTGCAAGGTTCACCTCAAGCAACATTCAGGCCCCAACCGGAGTTCTTGCTAAGGCTGCTAAGGACTTTAACTTAACGTACTGGAACCATACTAAGAATAGATCCCGATCAAGGCAGCTTAAACTGAGTTGCTGAACAAGAGCCCAGCAACAACACACCAACACAAGCCGCACATGAAATGTGCATGTATATCAGAATATCCCTACAGCTGTACGTATGTATGTATGTATGTATGTATGTGTGTACATATGTAATCATACTTAATACACAAACAGGAAACGAGTGTGTACATACATATA